TTTCAGGATAAAGGGCTGTTGAATTTTGTCAAAGGCCTTCTCTGCATCAATTGAGATAATCATGTGCTTTTTGTTTTTGGTTCTGTTCATGTGGTGAATTACGTTTATACACTTGGGTATGTTGAACCAGCCTTGCATCCCTGGGATGAATCCTACTTGATCATGGTGGATAAGCTTTTTGATGTGCTGTTGCAATCGGCTTGCCAGTATTTTATTGAAGATTTTTGCATCTATGTTCATTGTGGATATTGGCCTGAAGTTTTTTTTTCTTGTTGAGTCTCTGCCGGGTTTTGGTATCAGGATGATGTTGGTCTCATAAAATGATATGGGAAGGATTCCCTCTTTTTGGATTATTTGGAATAGTTTCAGGAGGTATGGTACCAGCTCCTCTTTGTGTGTCTGGTAGAATTCTGCTGTGAACCCATGTGGACCTGAGCTTTTTTTGTGTGGTAGGCTCTTAATTGCTGCCTCAACTTCAGATCTTGTCATTGGTCTATTCATGGTTTCGACTTCTTCCTGGTTTAGGCTTGGGAGGAGGCAAGTGTCCAGGAATTTATCCGTTTCTTCCAGGTTTACTAGTTTATGTGCATAGAGTTGTTCGTAATATTCTCTGATGATGGTTTGACTTTCTGTGGTATCTGTGGTGATTTCCTTTTCATCATTATTTCTTGCATCTATTTGGTTATTCTCTCTCTCTCTCTTTTTTTTTTAATTAATCTGGCTAGTGACCTATTTTGTTGATCTTTTCAAAAAACCAGCTCCTGGATTTATTGATTTTTTGAAGGGTTTTTCGTGTCTCTATCTCCTTCAGTTCTGCTCTGATCTTAGTTATTTCTTGTCTTCTGCTAGGTTTTGAGTTTTTTTAATCTTGCTCCTCTAGCTCTTTCAATTTTGACGATAGGGTGTCAATTTTGGATCTCTCCACTCTTCTCTTGTGGGCACTTATTGCTATATATTTTCCTCTAGAGACTTCCTTAAATGTGTCCTAGAGATTCTGGTATGTTGTGTCTTCGTTTTCATTGGTTTCGAAGAACTTCTTTATTTCTGCCTTCATTTCATTGTTTATCCAGTCAACATTCAAGAGCCAGTTGCTCAGTTTCTATGAAGCTGTGTGGTTCTGAGTTACTTTCTGAATTCTGAGTTCTAACTTGATTGTGCTGTGGTCTGAGAGACTGTTATGATTTCTGTTCTTTTGCATTTGCAGAGGAGTGCTTTACTTCCAATTATGTGGTCAATTTTAGAGTAGGTGTGATGTGGTGCTGAGAAGAATGTATATTCTGTGGATTTGGGGGGGAAAGTTCTGTAAATGTCTATCAGGTTTGCTTGCTCCAGGTCTGAGTTCAAGTCCTGCATATCCTTGTTAATTTTCTGCCTGGTTGATCTGTCTAATATTGACAATGGAGTGTTAAAGTCTCCCACTATTATTGTGTGGGAGTCAGTCTCTTTATAAGTCATTAAGAACTTGCCTTATGTATCTGGGTGCTCCTGTATTGGGTCCATATATATTTAGGATCGTTAGCTCTTCTTGTTGTATCGATCCTTTTACCATTATGTAATGTCCTTCTTTGTCTCTTTTGATCTTTAAAGTCTATTTTATCAGAGATGAGAATTGCAACTTCTGCTTTTTTTGCTCTCCATTTGCTTGGTAAATCTTCCTCCATCCCTTTATTTTGAGCCTTTGTGTATCCTTGCATGTGAGATGGGTTTCCTGGATACAGCACACCGATGGGTTTTGGTTTTTTATCCAATTTGCCAGTCTGTGTCTTGATTGGTGCATTTACATTTAGGATTAATATTGTTATGTGAATTTGATCCTGCCATTTTGATGCTAGCTGGCTGTTTTTCCCATTAGTTGATGCAGATTCTTCATTTTGTTGATGCTTTTTACTATTTGGTATGTTTTTGGAGTGGCTGGTACTGGTTGTTCCTTTCTATATGTAGTGCCTCTTTCAGGAGCTCTTGTAAAGCAGGCCTGGTGGTGACAAAATCTCAGTACTTGCTTGTTCGCAAAGGATTTTATTTTTCCTTCACTTATGAAGCTCAGTTTGACTGGATATGAAATTCTGGGTTGAAAGTTCTTTTCTTTAAGGATGTTGAATATTGGCCCCCAACTCTCTTCTGGCTTGTAGGGTTTCTGCCAAGAGATCTGCTGTGAGTCTGATGGCCCTCCCTTTGTGGGTAACCCGACCTTTCTCTCTGACTGCCCTTAGCCTTTTCTCCTTCATTTCAGCCCTGGTGAATCTGACGATTATGTGCCTTGGGTTACTCTTCTTGAGGAATATCTGTGTGGTGTTCTCTGTATTTCCTGGACTTGAATATTGGCCTGCCTTGCTAGGTTGGGGAAATTTTCCTGGATAATATCCCGAAGAGTATTTTCCAGCCTGGATTCATTCTCTTTGTCACATTCAGGTACACCTATCAAACGTAGATTAGGTCTCTTCACATAGTCCTACATTTCTTGGAGACTTTGTTCATTCCTTTTTGCACTTTTTTCCCTAATCTTGCCTTCTTGTTTTATTGCATTGAGTTGATCTTCGACCTCTGATATCCTTTTTTCTGCTTGGTCAATTCAGCTGTTGAAACTCATGCATGCTTCGCGAAGTTCTCGTGTTGTGTTTTTCAGCTCCATAAATTCACTCATATTCCTCTCTAGTTTGTCCATTCTTGTTATCATTTCATCGTATCTTTTTTCAAGGTTCTTAGTTTCTTGCATTGAGTTAGAACGTGTTCTTTTAGCTCATGGAAGTTTCTCATTACCCACCTTCTGAAGTCTGATTCTGTCATTTCATCACACTCATTCCCCATCCAGCCTTGTTCCCTTGCTGGTGAGGAGTTGCGATCCCTTGTAGGAGGAGAGGTGTTCTGGTTTCAGGTGTTTTCCTCCTTTTTGTGCTGGTTTCTTCCCATCTTTGTGGATTTATCCACCTGTCATCTTTGTAGTTGCTGATTTTCAGATTGGGTCTCTGAGTGGACGTCCAGGTTGTTGATGATGAAGTTATTTCTGTTTCTTAGTTTTCCCTCTAACAGTCTAGCCCCTCTGCTATAGGACTGCTGGCCCTGGTTGTCTGGGGATCACCTGCAGCAGCTGCAGAACAGTAAGGGTTGCTACCAGTTTTTTCTTCTGCTATCTTTGTCCCAGAATGATGCCCACCGAATGTCAGTCTGATCAGTCTTTTGTGAGGTGACTCTTTGGATATATGGGGGTCAGGGAGCTGCTTGAGGACAGTCTATTCTTTATAGGAGCTCAAGTGTTGAGCTGTGAGCTCCATTGTTCATTCAGGGCTGCTAGGCAGGTACGTTTACATCTGCTGCAGCAGAACTCATAAACTGCCTTTCTTTCCCCAGGTGCTCTGTTCCAGGAAGTTAGGGCTTTATTTATGAGTATCCGTTGTGCTGCTGCCTTTTTTTTTTTTTTTTTTTCATTGTCTGCCTGCGGAGGCTTTGCTGAGCTGCTTTGGGCTCCGCCCTGCTGCCGTGTGAGCTTCCCTGTAGTCCTGTTTATATGGGTGTGGTTAGAAATGCCTCGGCAATGGTGGCCCGCCTCTGTAATGGCAGACTCTCTGTTATGGCTGGTTGCCTCGGCAACGGCAGGCTGCCTCAGCAATGGTGGACTACCTCCATAGGGGTGGAGTGCCTCGGTAATGGCGGATGCCCCTCCCCCACTGAACTGCACCGTTCTGTGTTCAGCTGTGCTTACTGTGGAACTCTCAACCCCAAGCATTTCCAATTGCTGTTTTTTGTTTGTTTCTTCGTTTTTGTAGGGCGGGGCCCACCGTGCCTGATCACCTGGCTCCCTGCCTCAGAACCTTTTTTTTAAGTTGAACGGTCGACTCTCTCCCAGGTGTTCCTGGCACCTGCTGAAAGGGCGCCGGGATCTGTGTGATTTCCTGTGTGGTGACCCACTGTGCCGGCCAAAACAACGGCGCTGCCCGGGAATCTCCTGGCCTGGCTCCCTGTTTCAGACCCGTTTAATCAGGTGAATGGGCGAATCTGCCTTCTCAGAGAGCCAATTGCCTGCTTAAAAGGGCAACGAGACCAGTGTATTTTGTACGGAGAGCTGCCGTGCTACGGCGCCAGCAAAACAGCCGTGCTGGCGACCCATAGGGCTCCTCCGCCTGGGAATCTCCTGGTCTGTGGGCAATAAAGATCCGTCTGGAAATCGGCCTCCACTCACCCTCTGCACTTTCACTGGGAGCTGCAATCCTGAGCTGCTCCTAAAGGGCCATCTTCGATCATTCCTCCCCACTTTTGTTATATAGGGAACAGTGGTTGTCACCCAGAAATGTGACAGGCTATTAATTAAGGTTTGGGTTTTCTTTTTTTTCTTTTTTCTTCTTCTTTTTTTTTTTTTAAGGACAGGGTCTCAGGCTGGAGTGCAGTGGTATGAGCATGGCTCGGTGCAGCCTCAACCCCTGGGCTCAAGCAATCCTCCTGCCTCAGCCTCCTGAGTAGCTGAGGCCACAGTCACACAGCACCACGCCTCACTAATTTTTTAATTTTTGGTAGTGATGGGGTCTCACTGTGTTGCCCAACACTGGTCTCAGACTTCCTAGGCTCAAGCAGTCCTCCCACCTCAGCCTCTCAAAGTGCTGGGATTACAGGTGTGAGTCACCATGCCTGGCTGGTAATGGGTTTTCTATCAAAATTGTTCAAGTGCAACACATTGACTTTCAGAAAGCTGGAGGCTGGATTTTCCAACTTTTGTTTTTAGTGAAGGAACCCTTTTTCAAGTAAAACTGTGCAGAGGGCCTAATCGCCAATCAGACAGAAATAGAGCTGCTCTGGTTTATTTGGGATTGGTGGAGGCACTGAGCCCTGCTACTACTCCAGGTTTGCACTGTGCAGTGGAAAAGTCGTTAGATTTAGATGACCTGTGAGGGCCTTTCTAACTCTAAAATTGTATAATTCTAGGAGGAGATTGGGCACAGGAGTTAAGATTTACTTCCGTAACCTAGTTCAGTTTTTTAAAAATTGCTTTCTGCATTTATTCTTTCCTTTAGTTACTCAAGATGGCGCAGGGCCATAGGGCAGAGACTGAGCATTATGAAGAAATTGAAGACTATGATTACAACAACCCTAACGACACCTCCAACTTTTGCCCTGGATTACAGGTAAAGGGGGAAAGGGGCTCTCGAGTGAATGTGTCAACATGTGGATGGGTGTTTAACCTCTGCTACAAAGTACTAATCTTGGCTGTTGTGGGATTTCAAAGGAATATAAACACTTCGTCATCTTAGGAGCTAATATTTTGACCAGGTAGACAAAACACATAGACATATGAAGGTGGTATGATGTAGTGTGGCAAAAAATAAGTCTTTGGGGTGTATCTCAGATAATCAGGTTTCTAGCTCTGAATGTAGTTCTCATATTGCAAGCTTGTTGTGAACTTGTAGAAGCCACTCTCTATCTTTAGATCATGGTTTAGACTAAATAATTTCCATATCCCTTCTCTGAGTCTACTGATGGGGTGGCTAATACAGGAAACAGAAATTGGAAAAATAGGCTTCCTCAGTGTCCTTGGATGTGGAGAGGGGGAAAAGAACTGGGAAAAAAAATTTATTCACCTTATTTTCTTGGAAAAGAGTTAGGCTGTTATATTTTAGTGAAAATCCAGACTGACCTCTTGACCAGTGCTTCTCAAACTTTAACTTATATACAAATCACTCAGGGAGCCTAGTTAAAGACTGATTCCTGATCTGTATCCTCCCATCCACCCCCTGCCCCAAGATTCTGATACATTCACTCTGAATGTGATCCCGAAAATGACTTTCTCACCTGCTTCTAGGTGGTACCCCTGCTACTGAACAGATGGCCCCAGGAATCCCCTGTGCTTTCATTGGGTGATATGTGCAGGTCCTATCTGGTGTTTGAGGAATGCTTTCTGTAAAGTGAAATCCTAAATTAGTTAGAAGCTAAAGGGGAGACATAGTGGCAATTATGATTATTGAATTCTTTTTAACTCCTATTCAAAGGGTCTTAGGTTGATAACAGACATTTCTCTAATAGGGTTTTTGTGAAACAGGATGATAGAGGCACCTAGAAGTTCATTCTAGTGTGACTCACTCAGTGAACTATCAGATGGTCTCTTCTTGCTTTATAAACACAAAGTCTATTTCAAGGATGTTTCTAAGCTCCTCTGACAGCTTCCACCAAACTTAAAAAGCTGTTTCTTGCCCAGGCTGCTGACAGTGATGATGACGAGTCAGATGACTTATTTGTGGGAGCACTTGGGAACTCTGGCCTCTCACCTTATCCTTGCCATTCACCTAAGACAGCACAACAGAATGGTGACACTCCTGAAACCCAAGGATTAGACATTACAACATACGGGGAGTCAAACCTGATAGCTGAGCCTCAGAAGGTACGGATGAAACAACTGGGAATTACATTGTTTGCCTGAAATCTATTTGATTGCTTCTTATATCAGAGTCACATCAGTCTGAGCTTGAGTTTTTTCTTCTCAATTTTAACCTGTTGCTCTCCAAGTTTTAAATACGGTTGTAGGAGTGAGCTGATGCTAATTAGGTTTGTGTGGAACTGACCATCTCTCCAAAGACCTTGATAAGACATATAACTAGGGAGGAACTGGTCACCCAAGTAAGGTATATGAATGAAGGCTGCAGGCAGAGAATATAGATTTATATGCTAATTCAGTGAGGCTAGCTAGCTGTGTGGCTCTGAAAAATCTTGGCCAAAATCAGTTTGTATTAAATTATCATGCATTGAACATTTATTCCATACCAGGTGGCAGCCTTTATGCTTTCCTTAATATTTGATTCACTTACCTGTTTTACACTGGAATTCCAGTTAGCCTTAATGTAGATTGCACTTGATCAAAAAGAAATTAGATTTGATATGAGTAACTCTATTTTAGTGTCCAAAGAGAGCTCTGGGGAGGTGCTGTGGCTCACCCCTGTAATCCCAGCACTTTGGGAGGCCAAGGTGGGTGGATCACCTGAGGTCAAGAGTTTGAGACCAGTGTGGCCAACATGGTGAAACACCCGTCTCTACTAAAAATACAGAAATTAGCTAGGTGCCTGTAATCCCAGCTACTTGGGAGACTGAGGCTGGAGAGTCACTTGAACCTGGGAGGTGGCAGTTGTATTGATCGGAGATTGCACCATTGCAGTCCAGCCTGGGTCACAGGGCAAAACTCCATCTCTAAGAAAAAAAAGAAACAGCGCTCTGTAGCTCCTTGGTTGAAACTGATTCCTTCTTTAGTTAAATTTCAGACCTTTGTTTTTACAGTGAATTAATGATAAAAGTTTCTTTATTCTGCTTAGATTTACTTTGTCATATACCTATTTCAGGTAAATAAAATTGAAATTCACTATGCCAAGACTGCCAAAAAGATGGACATGAAGAAGTTGAAGCAGAGCATGTGGAGTCTGCTGACAGCGCTCTCTGGAAAGGAGGCAGACATAGAGGTCAGATGCTCTGCCTGTTCTCTAGGTGCCCAGTATGTGGGAGAGGAGTGGCTGATGTCTATGGCTGAAGATGCCTTGATTTGGGGAATGCCTCGAATACAGAAATGTTCATTCCGAAATATGAGGAGCTGGGCATGGTGGCTCACATGTGTAATCCCAGCACTTTGGGAGGCTGAAGTGGGAACGATTACTTGAGCCCAGGAGTTTGAGGTTACAGTGAACTATGATATGATCGTACCACTGCATTTCAGTCTGAGCAAGAGTGAGATCCTGTATCTTTAAAAACAAAACAAAAGTATAATGAAGATGTCATGCCTCTTAGAGAGAAATGAACCAAGTATACAAGCAGGCAGGTCACACAAACTGTGATACAAATAGCAAACTAGCATGTAAGGCGTGATTCAGCCTTGCTGGTAATCAAAAAATACAAATGAAAGAATCTTTATGCTACTTTAAAAGAGCAGCAGTAGTTTTAGTAATTAAACTGTTTTCTATTACTGAGGAGGAAAATTTGGAGTACTTATTCACTGCTTGTAGCAATTAAGTTGATATATGCTATGAAATGTTTAAAACCTTTGATCTAATAATTCTGATTTCTGGAATGTATTCTCAGTAGGAAGATAATAGAAAAGTAATTATTATGCTCTCAGGTTCTTCTTCTCCTTCAGAACACGCTGAAACCTTGATTAACTTGGTCTACCTCAATGAAAGGAAGTCTCAGTTAATTAGAATCCTTCCCTCTTTCTGACCCCTTCTGCTCAGGGAATATTCTAAGTTTAGAACTCCTATAGCTGAGAAGTGAAAACTTTTAAGTTGATTGAGGGCCTTAAGCTGTATAGTCTTGGATATCAGAGAAAGCTTCAGTCATATTCATAAAATTTTAACTAAAATAGAATGGAATGTAAGTGTGTGTGTTTGTCTTCTTTTTTCTTTTCTTTTTTTCCCCCTACGTTTTTGGATATCTTTTCAGTGTGTCTGTTTGAAGTGGGAAGTTTGAGTTTACTTTTAAATATTTATTTTGTGCTGTCCTTAGCAGTGTAATCCAGTTGAAGCTATAAATGGTCATGGCTTTTTGCTACTGCTCTTTTTTTTTTCTTGTTTGTTTTCGGGGCACCCTAGGACACTCTTTGCAGTGTCTTCTTTACCAGAATGGTGCTGGCCATGACATCATGTTCACCACAATGTTGTAGAGCAGGGCTGAGGCACTGGTTCCCTTTGTACATCCTTTGTCTTCAAAATAACTAAGCAATTTGTTTTCATTTCATTTAGGTATAGACTTTTTGGTGATACAACTTTATTTTTGTTGCTCTTTCAAAAGTGCACTAGCCCTAACTGTCTGATGTATAAATGTGCTTCTGTTAGGCAAACCACAGGGAAGCTGGAAAAGAAGGGGTCCCGGCAGAAGTGGCTGATGAGAAGATGCTCAGCAGACTCACAAAGGACCTGCAGAGGAGGTGCAGGCCAGCAGGCATGGGGGCTTTGTGGGGGCTCACCCTGTCTCTGAGCTATCCGCGTGGTGGGCCCTCCACACACAACCTGTTTTCTATGACACTTGTAGTGGCTGTTCTGTTTTCTTTATGTGTTGATAGATAAATACAGACCAACTTTTAAAAGGCGTTTTTCTGTGCCACTGGTCAGAGTGTAACAGCAGATATTTTATCTCCAAATAAGAAACTGGAAAAATTACTTATAAAATGCATCGGGAAGATTTGTTTCTCATTAGTTTAGTCATTGCATGTGTGTATTATTAATATTTGATGAATGAACCTTTGTTCTAACAGTTGCAGTGACCTAAATACTTGCCCCTTTCTTTCCAGCCTGCCCCGTGTCATGGCTCAGAACCTCTCCATTCCTCTGGCTTTTGCCTGTCTCCTACATTTAGCCAATGAAAAGGTAGGTAATTAAGGTAAGCATGGGAGTATTAGAATATTCCCTGTTTATGTCGACTCATTTGAGCTTTTTGTTTTATCATTCATGGGCTACCACAGGATTTCTTAAATCCAGTGACTTAAGCAATACCTTCAACCCAAATGATTAGCCAGGCACCTAGAAGTAACTTACAAAAAAGTCATCAGGTTTGATTAGCAATGAAAATAGTGAAGAGGACCCAAATAGTAAGATTTTAGATGATTGAATTGTCATCGGTAAGTTCCCCAGCCTAAGAACACAACATGCTTTTACTTCACTGGGTGTCAAAGACTTTAAAGGCCAAAGCCGGCCGAGCACTCACACCTGTAATCCCAGCACTTTGGGAAGCCGAGGCGGGCAGATTACAAGGGCAGGAGTTTGAGACCATCCTGACCAACATGGTGAGACCCCCGTCTCTACTAAAAATACAAAAAATTAGGGGTGTAGTGGTACGCACTTGTAATCCTAGCTACTTGGGCGGCTGAGGCAGGAGAATCACTTGAACTTAGGAGGCAGAGGTTGCAGTAAGCCAAGATCACGCCACTTGCACGCCAGCCTGGCAACAGAGCCAGACTCCGTCTTTAAAAAAAAAAAAAAAAAGACCAAAGCATGGTAGTACCAAAGTCAAGATGTATGGGAGATATGGCAGAGAAAAGAAGAGAGGGAGATGAAGATGAAAATAAAACAGTTGCAGGAAGAGAAGAGTACCAAAATATGGAGGCAACAGCCAGAAAAGTCAAGCTGTCTGTCACAAGAAAGGAGAATCCTGAAGTGCCAGCTGGGTCAGTGTGGCAGACTCCTGTGCCATGCCAGCCAACAACTGCACAGCCGTGGGACAGTGAAGGAGCTGAGTGGTGCTATTCAGGGATACCACTGCTGGGAGAGGGCAGCCAGCAGTAAGCCCACACATTTGAGCATCACTGGACACTTGGTAGGCATCAGGATCCCCAGCCAGCTGATGGACAGCACAGCCTTTGCCACCTGCAGGAGAGGGCTATGGGCTGGGCCATGGCATGTGTGGCAAGCACGACCTTGGGGCTGGGGCACCGTGGCCACGGTGTGCACCACCACTGTCAACTCCCCAGGAGGTGAGGTTGGGTATTGGAGTGCAGTTACTGTCTGAACGCCGAAGTGTGCTTTTAGTGGGTGATTATGGGAATGAAATAGTAGCAAAGGTGGGGTACTGGAAGCATACAGAATTTCCTGTATGCCAACATGTGACCTCTGACCTCATAATGAAATCAGGAGCAGTGAAGATTGGCTCCATTTTCCAGGTCTGACACTGCTTTGGAGAGAGCTTGCCCTGGCCTGTGTGGCACAGCCACCAGCCAATCCCAGTGACCTACCACTTCTCTTGGCAATACCTTGCTTAGCTCACAACCTCATGAAGAAGAAGAAACTGTCCGGTTAGCAAAAGCTAGTTTTGATTCTGGGTGGGGAACAGGTGTAGAAGACCCACTGGGCCAGGAACAAGTTCTGTATGTCTTCAACTACCATGCTGACCATTGGGCTTGTAACCACCAGTCTGTGTGTTCAAGCCTGAGGCCTAAACAAAAGAGCCCAGTGTAGCTTCCCAAGAAGGAATAATTGTGCATCAGAGCCCTTGGGAATGGTTTTAACCCAGGAATGCTGAACTTGCATGGCTGCTGTTGAGGGGCAGTAAGGCTGCGGAGAGAGGATGTGCCCTGTTTACTAGCCTGTGAAGGCAGATGTGCCTGTGGTTATGGGAGGTGGTAGTTTCTATACCTGAGGTATCTCATGTCATATGAAAACTATATCAAGAGAGAATGACTAAGAAAATAAAAAATTTAAAAATATATTTTTATCATGGCCCTGACAAATCCACAAGTGGCTCTGCTGAGGATACCACATCTCAGGTGGCTGGTGTGCAGGCCATCCATCTGTCTGCCTTGAGAAGTGTCAGGGGAGACCTGGAATCTCATTTGCACACCATCTTGGTGGACATAGGTGCTGGTGACTCTCCCACATGGGTATTGATCTCCTAGCACACCAGGCTCCTAGGCTGGCCTCCAAAGCTCAGAAAGCCGCTGAGTCCAATTTAAGAGTGTTACTACTTTCGCTCATCAGCCCTACCTTAGGGTCCGAGTGCTTCCCCGGGCTGTGCCTCCACAGAAACCTGCCTTTTTCTGTGAGAGAGCAGCTTCGTGGCCCTTACTTGTTTCTTAAAAAGTCAGGCCAGGCCAACACTGCAAAGAAATATTGGTGATTCTGTGATTTCACTGAGGTCGTGCTGCTCTGACTCCAGCTCTGCATCCCTGCCCCCAGTGGCAGTGTGGGCTTGTTCATTTTGCTGTGATCAAGTCTCTTTAAGGGTCCCAGAGCTCTTGGTGTTTGAAGAATGGGGGAGGGTTACAGCCCATGACTTGTTGAGCTGAGCACCTAGGCCATTACTGGTGCCTGGCTTTGGGTTGAGAAAATTAGCCAAACATTGGCTAATAGCAGTTACTGTGATATTCTACAGGATCATGGTAACTTGGAGTTTAGAGCCACCAAGAGAAATATTCTTAACATTTCACAGAAGAACTTGACCTCTTCTTGGACTTCTTTCTCTCCATCTTTCACACTTGTCTGGAGTCTGTTCCTCCACCACTCTGATAACAATTTCCCCTCACATAGTTTATACAGTAGCCCCCTGTTTCTAGGGATGAGGCAGTGGAGCAGTTGGAGGTGCCTGGAGGAGGCATGTATGGATGGGGTTAATACAGTAGCCCCCTGTTTTCAGTTTCACTTTCCATGGTTTCAGTTACCCACAGTCACCCATGGTCTGAAAATACTAAATGGAAATCCAAGAATAAACAATTTATAAGTTATAAGTTGCAACTGTTCTGAATAGTGTGATGAAATGTCACAGTGTCCCACTCTGTCCGCCCCGGATGTGAACCGTCCCTGTGTCCAGTCAATCCACACTGTAGATGCAGCTCTCCCACTATACACTTAGTAGCCATCTTAGCTCCCAGGTTGACTGTCGTAGTACTGCAATGCTGTGTTCCAGTCCCTTTTATTTGACATGATTTTTCTATTTTATTATTATTCTCTTACTGTGCCTAATTTATAATTAAACTTGATCATAAGTGTATATGTGTAGGAAAAACATGGTATGTTTGTGTATACATATATATATGTAAATCATATATGTGTATATGATTTGGTACTATCTGTGGTCCCCAGTTCAGGCATCCACCGGGGGCCTCAGAACACCCCTCAAGGATAAGGAGGGACTAACTATATGTATGTGTTATGGCTCCTGATGATCTCCCATCTGCCTCCATTAGCACCTTCAGGCTAATCCTAATCCTATAACAAGGATTGGGAATCATTTTTATTATGCAAGTTATACTTGCTTTGAAGCAGTTTTCTTATAATCGTGGGACTAACCTTTGTAGTCACTGCCTTGTTACTGTGATTAGAATTTGTGATTCTTTTATTCTCAGTATACCAAAGTCCATACATGTTTTGGTTTTCCCTCAGAATCTAAAGCTGGAAGGAACAGAGGACCTTTCTGATGTTCTTGTGAGGCAAGGAGATTAAGTTCCCTGTGGACAGGGATTGAGTTGCCAGGACATCCCCAGTCTGAGTAGAAGAAGATGCCGTGGACTTACAGCCAGGTTGTAGCCAACTACCAGCGTCCCTGTTTATTTGTTGCTCTTTCCTTCTCTCCATCACAGTCTGGGTGCCAGCGCCTTGAAGCTCTGTGTTTGACTGATTAAACTTTACTGCCTTATGGTGACCATCTAGGAGAGGCGAGGGCAGAGGGGGTGAGGGTGCTATTCTGGATTGAGAAAATCTATATCCATTCTTTATATCAATGTATAGTTTTAGTCTCCTAAATTGATCTGTTATTTTCCAAACTTTAGTCTTATAGAAAATTTTCCAGTAGGCACTTAATGTTGCCCTTAAAGAACTTCCTAATCCATGTACATAAAATACATCATATGTACACTTAAAAATGTATATAGAATGCTTTAAAATAAAATTCTAAATAATTAACTGGCAGAATATTTGTGTGTCCACTAGATGGATATCAGACCTAGTCCTTACCTTTGAGGGGGATGCAGTCCTGGTAGTTATTCTGGATACCCACATGTCAGAGGGTATCCAGAAGGGGTATCCATAAGGCAGGGGTATCCAGAAGTGGTATCCAGAAGGCAGAAGATGCCTAAGGGCCAAGATAGTTTGCCTCGAAGGAAAATGGAAGAGATCACTTGCTGGACGGCTGGACATTCAGATTGCAAGACTGGGTCCTACTGAAATCCCAGGATTCTGCTGGAAGGAGCTGGTAGTGATACTTGTCACTTCTGTACATTGCTTCATGTAGCCTTCTAAGCATCCCTAGGAGGAATTTACTATTGTCACTCCCGTGTTGCAGAGGAGGAAACAGACACCCAAGGTAGAATAACTTGCATAAGGGCAGCTGGCTAACTGTCAGGGGTGGCCTGAGCCCAGTAATCTGTCTCTAGAGTCTGTTGTCAGCCATTCTGCTATGTGCTGTCCAGATGGATCATACAGACTTAGCAGTGGGTAGAGTGCAGTACTCAGATTTGTCCATCTCCACAGAATGCATGGCACATACCAGTGTACAAGTTCTTCCCCTTATCTAAAAGAAATAGGGAAATTAATTTTGCTTGCAATTTGGAACATTGACTGGCTAAATAGAGATTTTGGATATAGGCCAGAAGCAGTGCAGTATATAATTGGCAATGGCTCCTGATAATAACTTGCTCCTTAACCAAAAAACACACAGAACAAAAATAATCCCCTCCCCACAGGAATATGCTTTCCAAATTGTATCCAAAACATTACCTGCTCTGTTCTATTGAGACAGTTAGAGACTTAAGAGCATGCTTTAGAAAAAGCAGTGGTGCACCAGGCACGGGTAGCTCATGCCTGTAATCCCAGCATTTTGGGAGGCCAAGGTGGTTGGATCACCTGAGATCAGGAGTTTGAGAGTAGCCTGGCCAACATGGAGAAACCCCATCTCTATAAAGAAAAAAGAAAAAGCAGTGGTGCTGCAGGTGAGAATCCATACTCTGTCTTGCTGGGACTGAAGCCTCCATCACTTTCCCAAGCCAGGTCACTGCTGGGCTTCTTGCTCTCCTTTTATTCCTGAGAGTAGGAATAAAACGGGCTAGGTCCATTCCTTCCCTTAGTCAGCTCCACTTCCCTATGTGGGGTCTGGGCAAGGGCTGAATTACTAGTAAAACTAGAAAGATTGGGACCAGGTGCCAGTGGCCCACACCTGTAATCCTAGCATTTTTGAAAGGAAGAGGCAGGAGGATTGCTTGAAGTCAGGGGTTCAAGAGCAGCCTGGGCAAAATAGACCAGCATCTTTAAAAAAATGTTTTAAAATGATCTGGGCATGGAGGTGTATGTGACTAATCCCAGCTACTCAGAAGGCTGAGGTGGAAGAATCACGAGCCTAGGAGTTTGAGGCTACAGTGAGCTATGATCATGCTACTGCATTCCAACTGGGGCAACAGAGTGAGATCCTGTCTCTTCAAAACAAAACTTGTGAGGTTGGTACCAACTTCTTTAATGCAATCCCCTTCCCCTCAACCCTGCTTCTCCTAAGTTTCCCTCATTATGTGGTTGCTGTGGGGTATGTGTGCTGTGATCTGAATGTTTGTGTCTAAAATCCATATGTTGAAATCCCCTTGATATGTTACGAGGTGAGGCCTTTGGGAGGTGATTAGGTTATGAAGGCAGATTCCTGGTGAATGAAATTAGTGCTATTATAGAAGAGGCCTGAGGAAGCTTGTTCACTCCTTTCATCCTTCTGCCATGTGAGGATCCAATGAGAAGGCACCATCTGTGAGTGATGAGCCCCTCACCAGACACCAGATCTGCTGACATCTTGATCTTGGACTTCTCAGCCTTTAGAACCATGAACAATAAGTCTGTTGCTTATAAATTAAGCAGTCTAAGTCATTTTGTTATAGCAGCACAAATTGACTAAGACAGTAGGTATACAAGATAAGTTTATTTCATATAAAATGCTTTGGGAAGTAGGTGGTTCCAGGACTGGTGTGATAGTTCCATGAAATTATAAGAGACCAGGGATCCTTCCAGCTCATCCCTCTGTTTCAGTGTGGCTGCTACAATCCAGCCATCACATCCATATTCTAAGCAGCAGGATGAGGGACTGGGGGGACAGAGAACTGGTGCTCCCTGTTAAATCAGTTTTCTGGGGATCAGTATGAATATTTTTCACCTCAGGATGCCACAAAGGTGGCAAAAGCCTTCCCACAAGCAAGAAGGCTCCCACCAGATGTGGATTCAACCTGGGACTTCTCAGCCTCCATAACTGTAATAAATTCCTTTGTTAATTACCCAGTGTCAGGTATTCTGTTGTAGGTAACAGAAAATAAACTAACACAAGTGGTAATGTGTCCAGCTAAAAATTTGGGTTCTGTTACTGAAGGTTAAAAGAAAATTTGAGGTACCCAGCAGTATCTGCTTCAGATGTTGAGAAGCCTTCTTAGATAAGATCATATACCATGTCCATAACTGAAGTTTTAACATTTTCTACCAAACAGAACCAGAATTGAAGGGCAGGAGAATTTGCAAGATAGAATTTGCAATTTGCAAGAGAGGGGCAATTTGCAAGAGAGAATTGTGGGACCCTGAGAGAGAACATATTCCCCAAAGGAGGAGGAAACCAAATATTACAAATTGAATTGAACGAGAAGGCCTGATATCTGAAGGGGAATTGTAGTTCCCAGTAAAGTATGATGCAGCTAAGTGCACTTCCCTGGCCAGACCACCCTATAGTGTATGATCCCCCTGGGGAGCAACAGGCTGCAGGTAACACTTTGGCGCCCTAGCAGTTCTGCTGTGGTACAGCTACAGTGAATCACAGGCAAAGAGTGGGCGTTGTTCCGCTTCTCAGCACCAGATACTGGGTCATTTCGGCCCCACAAGGATTTGCAGCATCTGTGGCAACCAGTTTGGTGTTCTGGAGCAAGGAAAGGAACCGTTCATGGTGGCTGAAGCCAAGCTGCTCAGCACTGAGGCAGCAAGCTATGATCTAGGTCTGCAAGTAGAATTTTCAGTTTTGGTGCATTTAAAAATGTCTTTTGGGGATAGTGGGAATGGTTCATGGGTACCAAAAAAAAGAAAATCATGAATAAGACCTACTATTTGATAGCACAATAGGGTGACTGTAGTGACTATAGTCAATAGTAACAATTGTATATTTTAAAGAATGTAATTGAAAAGAGTAAATGCTTGAGGGGATGGATACCCCATTCTCCTTGATGTGCTTATTTCACGTTGCATACCTGTATCAGTATCTCATGTGCCCCATAAATATATACATCTATGTATCTACAACAATTTTAATAATAATAAAATTTAAAAAATTAAATGCCTATTTTGCCTTCATTTTTGAAGGATAGCTTTACTGGATGTAGAACACTTCGTTGATAGTTTTTTTTCCTTTGGCATTTGAATGTCTTCCAATGTCTTCTCATTCCATAGTTTCTGAAGAGAGGTGGCCATATACTCTTAACACTATTCCTTTGTACGTAATTGCTATTTTTTTCTAGGACAGCTTTCAATATCTTTTCTGTATCTTTGGCTTTCATCAGTTTATCACTTATCTAGGAGTAATTCTCTTTGTGTTTATTTACTTAGGATTCATTGAGCTTCTTAGATCAGAAAATTAATACAGTGAGTTCTTTTGGTAGCCATGTTCTATAAAGTCTCCGCAAGCACAGAATTAGCAAATGCTTAGCTGTTGCTCCTAGGTAAGATACAGGGTTAGCTTCCTGTGAGCCTCTGGTCAAAACATTTTCATCAATTGGTTAATATTTAACCTTGTTTTATGTCTGTTTTTATTTAAAGACATTCAATATGTTTTACAAATTAAAGGCAGTATTTATTAAAATAAAACACTAGCCAAGAAGGGTTTAACATTTTCCTGACCATGGGTAACATGACTAAATTCATTTGGCTTCTATCCTCACAAGAGTACTGCCCACTTAAAAAAAAATAGTCTTTTTACCAATCCACAAATTTAGCTACTTTTTCATTCCATCCCATAGCTACATCATGCACTGTAGATGTTATAATACTTTAGCATTTTCTCCTTTCTCTGTATGTACTGTTGGTTCATTAACATTGAACTCACAGAACAGCACTGTGACTCATGCCTGAATGAAGCTTATGTAACATTTCATCACAGCTTTCTCGCTCTTAGGAACACTGGAGAGCACTCCAGCAGTACATGTAGGAGCCATTTTAAACAGCAAAATCACTGAGAAAAAGCACCAAAAGGGCCAGGTACAGTGGTTTATGCCTGTAATCCCAGCACTTCAGAGGCCAAGGTTGGCAGATTGCTTGAGTCCAGGAGTTAAAGATCAGCCTAGGCAGTGTGCCCAGCCTCAAATCAATTTTAGAACATGTTCGTCACTCCCAAAAAAAAACTCTGTATTCCCTGACCCCCTTCTCCTCAGACATAGGCAACCACTACCCTACTTTCTGTCTCTAGAGATTTGCCTCATCTGGACATATCATTAAATGGAATCATAATACAATATGTGATATTTTATGACTGGCTTCTTTCACTTAGCATAATATTTTCAAGATTCATCCATGTTGTAGTGTGTTTTGGTACTTCATTCCTTTTTATGACCAAATAGTATAGCGTCATATGGTGCTGTTGTTTGGTCTCACTGTGTCTCTTGTTGAAATTTAATCCCCAGTGTTGGAGGCAGGGCCTAGTAGAAGGCTTTTGGATCATGGGGTTGAATTCTTCTTGAATGGCTTGGTACCATCCTTGCAGTAATGAGTGAGTGAATTCCGGTGACAGCTGGTTGTTAAAAGAGCCTAGCACCTGCCTCCTTTCTCTCTTGCTTCTGTGCTCTAGCCATGTGATCTCTGCACACACCAGCTCCCCTTCACCTTCTGTCATGAGTGGAAGTAGCCTGAGGCCTCACCAGAAGCAGATGCTGGCGCCACGCTTCCTGTACAGCCAGCAGAACTGCGAGCCAAGTAAACC